TTCCCTCACACCCTGCAGCACCTGCTGCACCAGGACGCTCTCCCTGGTTCTGGGGCTGAGACCTTCCCTGGAGCCTGACTCTGGCCTTTCTGAGTCATCAGCCTCCACCTGAGTCTGTGTCTCCCCCTAGAGACCTGCACACTCCTACCCTAGGTTCTCACCCTGATTCTGGAACTTTCCAAGAAATAGGACATTATCCCAGATGTCTCTGTCCAGGCTGGTGTCTGGGTGTTGCTCTCCCTTTCCCCACCCCCACTGTCCTGTCCACTCTCAGGGTGGTCACATGAGCACTGCTGGAGTGTCCCATGACCATGCAGAATTCCTGAATTTTCTCACTGTCCCCTCAGACCCTCCAAAGACACACGTGACCCACCACCCCATCTCTGACCACGAGGTCACCCTGAGGTGCTGGGCCCTGGGCTTCTACCCTGCGGACATCACCCTGACCTGGCAGCGTGAAGAGGAGGACCTGACTGAGGACATGGAGCTAGTGGACACCAGGCCTGCAGGGGACGGGACCTTTCAGAAGTGGGCAGCTGTGGCCGTGCCCCCTGGAGAGGAGCAGAGATACACATGCCATGTGCAGCACCAGGGGCTGCCTGAGCCCCTGACCCTGAGATGGGGTGAGGAGGGGATGTGGGCACAGAGCCTCTCCTCAGGGTGTCCCTGAGCAGGGTCAGGACTCAGGCCTGAGGTTGACCTCTCACCTTCCCCTCACAGACCCCCCTCCTCAGACCACCATCACCATCGTGGTCATCGCTGCTGCCCTGGGTCTCCTTGTAGCTGTGGTCACTGGAGCTGTGCTGTGGAAGAGGAAGTGCTTAGGTGGGCAAGGGGTGGGGCTGAATTCCCTGTCCCCCTGGGGGTCAAGCCCAGGTGGAAGTGTGCTCTGCCTCCTTAATGGGCATCGTGTCCCCACACAGATGCTTGTCCATCTGGGGCCTATTTCCCAACACTGACTCTTTACTGAGGTCCATGGGAAAGTGAGGGACACTTTTATCACCAGATGGTTCTAGTGATGGGGACTGATTCCCAGTCTCATAGGTCAAAGGGGAAGGTCCTTGCTAAGGACAGATGTCTAGAAGCTCAGTTGGTCCACTCCACACACGTGTACTTTCCCCATATTTCCTGAGTGTTCAGTCACAGTTCTGGAACCTTCCCTGTGCTTCAGGAGTGTGGGGCTCCTTTAGCGTCAAGGGACCCAGCCTTCTCCCTGACTTCTCACAGTAGGTTTTCTTCCCACAGGCAGATGCAGGAAGAGCTATGCTCAGGCTGCCTGTAAGTCTGGGTGTTGGGGAGGTGACATCTGGGACCCTTGGGAGAGTGTGGGCTGGAGTCTATGAGAGGGGATCCCTCACCCCTAACTCTGCTATTGTGTCTTCCCCAGGCAACGACAGTGCCCAGGGCTTTGATGTGTTTCTCTCAGCTCCTAAAGGTGAGACCCTGAGTGCAGAAGGTGGGGACGTTGGGACTGAGGGGCACAACAGGTTTTGGGGATTCTCATAGTGGGACATTCTGAGCATGTGGTGGGCTGTGGAAGAATGTGACACTTCTGAGACTGACCTGAATTTGTTCATGACAACTTTCTTCCCCAGCGTAAGAGATACTTTCTATGGGACCTGTTGCTAAAAACAGTCACTGCAGCCTCCCCTTAGGACTTTAGGGATCCCTGCCTGCTGTTTCTGCAACTGGCATCGGAACCTGTCTGCATCCTTATCAGCATCACATGAGGAGCTGGTCACCGGGCCAATCTCCCCATAGGGATCTGAGTCCTCTCCCCTGGGGACAGTCCTGTCCTAGCCGAGTTGGGGTGAAGCCATCCCCATCCTGGTCATTTCTCATCTGGATCATCTTGGTTGCTGCTTTGCCTTAGCTGCTTCAGGAGAACCTTGTCCCACCAGAACCTGGGATCCCAGGGTCTCGAGCATCACCCAGGCCTTGTGGTGGCTCCAGGACTGTGCTCAGTGAGGGCTTCCTGTGGGTGTGTCAGCCTGGGTTCAGGCCTGAGTCTGGTCCACAACCCCTATGTTTTGGGTATTTTTATAGCTTCTTTTTTTCTGTAAACATTATACCTATTTTTGTTTTCTTAATTAAATTATTAGAGCTCTTTTATTAAATATATTGGGGTGTGTTCTTATTAAATATATTGGGGTACACTTGGTTAAGAGGATCGTGTAGGTTTCAGGTGTGCATTTCTATGATACAGGATCTGTACATCGCACTGGGTGCCCACCACCCAAGTCAAACCATCTTCCCTCACCAGGTATGAGGACCCTCCTCCCCCAACCCCCTTCCCTCTGGGAGCTACCACACTGCTGTCTGTGTCCATGAGTTCCAGGTTTATATCCCACATGTGAGTGAAATCATAGGGTTCTTAATTGTTTCTTACCAAGTTATTTCATTTAGCATGATATTCTCAAGGTCCATCCATACAGGAGGCCCTATTGATATTTCTCTCTCCCTTTCTCTCAAATCTATAAAAATATATTCTTGGGTAAGGATTTTTAAAAACACCACAACATCTGTGAATTGCTATAAAATGCAGTGGGTCTGTGCATTGGGGAACTAAGAATAAGCTGAATGGCTGGCCTCACAGAGCCCATGTTGTGTGGCAAAGGGACACACTGTACCCTGTGACCACAGTGAGGAAAGAGTTCCCATGAGCAGGTGGGAGGTGCTGTGGAGAAGGGGACACACTGGGGTGTGTTGGGAGAGGGAGGAGGCCTGTTAGAATTTGAGTGGTCAGCATGGGGCCTCATGGGAAGGTGGCCTTGGAGGAGCAATGAGAAGGACAGGAGCAATTACCCAGCAGGAGGTCTGGGGCAGGCTCCTTCCAGACAGGTGATCTCCTTAAAGGGAGCCCCCGCACCCCATGTGGTTTTGGAACACCCACGAGGCCAGCATGGCCGGAGTAGAATAGAGTGGTTGGGAGACATTAGATCATGGCCACATTGTGCAGGCTTGGGAGACAACGACAGATATGATTTTCCTTTCCTTTTATTTTATTTTTTTAGTTACAGAAATCTTTCTTTTAAAATAAGCCACATGTATACACATGTATAAAACATATATCCTATAGGTATATATCACATATATCCTCTTTCTATATGTTTTCTGAAGTGATTTAGATTAAAAGCTCCAGTCCTGGCTGGTGTGGCTCAGTGGATTGAGTGCCGGACTGAGAACCACACGGTTACTAGTTCAAATCCCAGTCAGGGCACATGCCTGGGTTGCAGGCCAGGTCCCGAGTAGAGGATGTGGGAGAGGCAACTACACATTGATGTTTCTCTCTCTTTCACCTTCCTTTCCCCTCTCTCTAAAGATAAATAAATAAAATCTTTCAAAAAAAAATAAAAGCTCTAAGAGATTTTGTTTCCAGTAGGTGTTATTTTATCTACACCTTCACCCCATTGTTAAGCTGTTCGAAGTCACTTTACGTTCATAAATGTACCATGAAGTGGGGAGACAACCCGAGTGGGAAAGACTGCCACTGGACAAAGGGACCACATGGCTCCCCAGTGATGTTCCCTGTGACCACCTGTGCTCCATGTGCAATTAAGGGTTCCTTCCCGCATATCCGAATGTGACTTTTTGGAGCCTCTGCCTGTGGCTGGTTGAATCCCCTGATTCTAACCAAGGGCCACTTTGTTGCCTACGAGTCACCCCAAGTTTCAGGCCCCCCACAGGGGTATCCATGTGGGGTTCAGAAAGCTGACCAATCAGAATGTGAGGAATACCTGCTTATAGCAGTAACTGTTTTAGCATCCAGGATCCTTAATCCACTGCAGACACTGTTCTCATTCTGCAGATGCTGAGTCCTGGAAGGTCATGGCCAAGGAGCCAATGTCCCTAGTGGCTTCCTCTGAGAGTTCCTCCCCAAGAGAGAGCCCTCGGGCCACAGGGTCAGTCTGGCTGCTGAGCTGAGAACAGAATCAGGAGACAAGGGACCAGCGAGGCAGGAGGGAGAGGTGTGGGGAAGCTCCCAGGGTTCCAGGCTGCAGGAGCTGGGTGTTTTGATGTGGCTGTGAGTGGTGGAAACAGTGGGAAGGGACTGAACACTGAATGCATTGGGAAGATGGATTTCACAGCATTTCCTAAGGATTCAATCTGGGGTATGGGAAAGGAGTCAAGAAGGGCACCCCATGTTTGTACTGTGCCAGCAGAAAGATGGGGTTACATCAGCAGAGATGGGGAAGACTCTGGCAGAGCATGTGTGGGGGAGGTGGTGGGCATTTCAAGTGTTCAGCTGAAGAGAAGGTCAAGTTGAGATGTCTGTTAGAAACACCAGTGATCTCTCAGGTTGGACCAATGACTGTGGGGACCTTGAGGAGAAATGTCTGGGCTGGAGAGATAGGTGTGGAGGTGATGATGACATTAAAGCTGTGAGCGTGGATGAGGCCACCAAGGGAGCAAGGACTGTAGAAGAGGAATAACCAGGACTGGACACTGCACCCACCTGTCCCAACAGTGGGAACGTTCATCCTGGTGACTCCCCAGCCTGGTGACGGCCATGTTTCCCCATCACAGATTCACCATTTGGTGTTTGTCATTCATCAGGAATTTACAGGGAGATATTCTGAGATTGTCCTGCTGTGCTCTTCACCACTTCTATACTCACCCTCTTTAGCCCCTCTTATAACTTCCACCCAAGTCAGTGAAAATATGATGGTTGCCCTGTATCAGCCCTGGACATTTATTTTCAGGTGTGAAGTACAGCTTAGAGAACATAGTCAATAATGTTGTCATAATCACATATGGTGTGAGATGTGTACTAGATTTATCAGGGAGATTAATTAACAAGCTATATAAGTGTTTAATCACTGTGCTTTACAGATGAAACTAATAAATACTGTATTTCAAATGTTTTGAAAAATAAAAAATATATTTAAAGTTTAAAAAAGTGCTAACTTGGACATCATGCCCAACATCCCGACAGCATTTTGGGGGAGATTTGAGTATTTTGTAACAAGCTCATAAGCCATCCTGGTTTCAGAGAGATTTTGAACCACACAATTCAGTGATGAGCTAGGGACCACGTTGGGGAAAGGACTTAAATCCGCATGTGAATGTTTTTCCCCACAACTGGGGATGCAAAGGTAGTTCATATACTGTCATACGAGGGTGGAAGGTATGTGCTGTTTTCTCTACCGTGGGGTAAAGTCAGAGGAAGATTTAGAAAGTGGCTCTCAGTTCAACATAATGAAAGTCTCAGAATGCTTGTTCTCTGCAATGACCACCCTGAGTGATTTCTGGAACAAATACAAATAATGCAACCCAAAGTTTTCTAATTTGAACAAAAAGAATTTATATGTGAGGTATGGAGGCTCTTTTTTTTTTTTTCAGAAGAAGCTACAGAACAGACCTGAGGCCATGAGCAGGGAGAGTTGTGGGACTAGAATGCACAGGCAGACCAGCCTAGGTCACAGGGATGACAGTGTGAGGGACTTAGGGACAAGCTCTGACAAGAGGAGGAGCTTAAAGAATGTGCCCAGCAGGAAACACCATGACTGGAGACCCTGGCACAGATGTCCCTGCACCACTGTGACAATGAGACTCTAAGTCAGCTCCTCCCAAGGGACAGGGGACACTTTCTCTGCTCCTGCCCACTGCTGCTCATGAGAAACAACTCAGTATTTGCCATGTTTGTCCCTGGTCACCAAACGAGCCTGAGGGAGCCATCCTGTGCTCATGTCCTGTGTCATGTGCACTGTCCTCACGGTCTGGGCCAGCATCTCCATGGTGCTTCACCTGCACAGACACCACCAGAGTCTGCAGCACATTCACACCCCCGCAGCCACCACCAATGTTTTCCAGTGGCCAGAGTCACCCACACAGTGTGGATGCTGGTGGTCACCTTTCTCACCTCCCACGTGCTGAGTTCCATTTTTACACTCACATCACTGCCTTTTTAGACTTATCTGTGGTTGATGCAGGCAGCTTCATTTCTGGTTTCCTGTTTCCCCAGTGTCAGCTCCACCCTGCTGGTCCTCAGGGACCTAGAACTCCTGGGTGTGCTCTTGTGGTGTGGAAACCACAGTAGAGATGTGAATACAAAGTCAGCTTCAACAGTAACTACTTAGTAACTATGTACTCAGTACCATTTCTTAGATAAAATCCACAACAATCTTAGAAGGTCAGTTTGAAACTGGTGCTTCACTGGAAGATCTTCAAGTCAATCCAGAATATGATGAGCTTGATAAAGATCCATAAAACTATAGAAGAAATATGTCTCCCCATTGATCAGTGCACCTGTTAAAAGGAATCACCCTTTTTTCAGGAATATTGAGCATTTTCCACAAATTTACCTCAATGTGAATGTGGGTGACACTTGACTTACCAAGGTATTGGTTTACCACATAATCCAGTATTGGTCTAGATTCATATTACTCTTTTGTGGGCAAAGATTTTATTTCATGGATGAAGAGAAAGACTTTGGGAAATGAAAAAATTGTTTTAACCATTGTTTTGTATCTTTCCCCCCGATATGTCTGCAATGTGCTGTCATAATACAGAGAAAATCAGGTAGTTCCTTTGAATTGCTTCCTCTTACCTGCGCAGATTTGTTTTACACGGTTGGCCCTCTGAGAACTTTGTTCATTGGATGGATAAGATCCCATTACAAAGAGATAAAGTGGCCACGTATACATTTGCCACATAAAGTTTTGCTTTTTCACTGAAATTTGGACATGGGGTTCTGTTCACACTCGGGTTTTCTTAATTTATTTTTTAAAACACAAAACACTACTTTGGTTTTGCTCACTTCCCCATTTATTAGAATAACCACATTTGGAGAGACACAAAGCACTTAAGTTTCACACAATGACAACGTTATCACAAATCCCAAACAATTTTAGCCACAGATATTCACTTACCTGTTTAAAGAAAAACCCTTTGAAACATCTGAGTCAGCCTGATGCACAGAGACCCTGAATATATGGGAATTCACATTTTAAATGCTTGTATATCCTGCTTTAATAACGTCTCCTTTCCATGGAATCCCGAGTGAAAGGGATTGAAATGTCTGTGTAAATGCTTTGCAGACAGTGACACTAATCTGTACAGCATAAGAAGGTGTAGTGTGCACAGTTCTGCCAGGAGTCTCTGGTCTTTCTGGGTG